TGTATTTTTGATTGTATTTGATATGTTCTTGGATATTTCCTGTTTGCCCCCTTTTGTGTCAGTCTCCTTTCCCCTAGCCCCCTTCTTGCCTCTGTTCACACCTGCTCCCAATCTACTAATTAGCCTGGTCTTTGTTTCTCTCTGCCATATAATTTTGTCCTGTTCAGTCACTCTTGGCTGGTTTGTCGTTATTTCTTTGCCCCCTTGTTGTGATTATTCTTGGTCTTTAGCATTTTTTTGTGGATTTATATTTTGGGATTTTTGCTTCTGTTAAACTTTTGTCATTAAAACATTTAAGTAATCACCTCAAGCTTTGTGTCTGCATTTGGTTCCTGTCAAACCTCCACCCCCATAGTGACACGTGCAGGTTAGTCAGGTTTATTTGACGAAATCATTGAGATTATGCAAAATATATCATGACCCAATGTAGCAGAACAAATGTGAATTAATTAAATAATTACCTACATCTTTGTCCCAGTTTAACATAGTAAATTAGTATTACCAATATCATATTTTAAACAATAAATAACAGCTTGATTTAGGTCATTTAGATTAAATAAAAGCATGTCAATGGAAAAAAAAAGACTAGGAAACAGCTGATAAGCTGAACACAGGACTAGACCAAAGCAGCCTCATCCTCACAGCCTGCTCTCTGTGAATACCAACGTGTGTAGACGTTCTTTTCAAACGGAAAACTCCTCATAAAGAAGCTTTCCACCCCATTGCTCTCTTTACACATGCACTTACATGCATCAAGTTTTCTTCTGTGGCTCACGGTCATATTTTCTGCAACATTTTATTGTGTTACGGCGCCCCACTGGGGCAAAAGAAAAAGACGGCTAGAAAAAGAGAACAAACATCCATTCTTTGCCTCTGGCCATGGACTCCCTGATTTTGTCAGTCACTGCTGCAAAACCTCAACAAGAGACTTCAGTGTTATTCTCATTTCACGCAGGTGCGGACATGCACACGCTTCCGTGGGTTTCTACGTTTTTTATCCCTTCTCTTTGCCACACATGAAAAATGAATTTAATAGCACGCATCTTGCTATGATTAAGTGTGTTCTTATTTGTGCGGGGCGTTAATGGAAGAACTGTCATCATCAGGCCATAATCTCATGTGTTTTTTTCGTTTCTTTTCTTTTTTTTTTTGAAACAGTGGAGCATAAATGTTTATTGAGCCCCGGAGGCACGTAAGCAAATGTGACCTCATCTGAGCCGATGTAAAGCGTCTGCTTTCAGAGGGGAGTGCAGATGGAAACCAAATCTGTAAATCACAGAATCTGCTCTGCTCAGTCAAACAGCTGCATGGTTCCTGTCCACAATTAAAGACCAATCGCAAATCTTCGACATCGCTGCTTTAGTCGCACAAATGAAGAATCAGTTGCTTCATGTATTTTACCAACTTCGCTCTCTGCTCTCGCTCCACATAGCAATACACTCTTTTTCCTCCACCTTGATGTTTCCTATACGACCTGATTTGGCTGCTTCAGCTTTTGATAATTTTTTTCCAGCCTGTTAACCTCACGTCTTTGCAACAGATCATTCATGTGTACTTTAGTTGCAGCCGTTTAAAACCTGTGTTGAGGCAAAGCAAACTCGAATGCATTCATCTGGTGAATAGTAAATCTGAAACTGAGGAAAGTTTAGGAAATAACAGACAAAAAGGGAAAGAAAAGTTGGAGTAACTATGAAAGATTAAGGGTGGTGTGTGTGTAGTGTCTCTGCACGCCTGACACCCAGGGGTGATTACTTTGTGTTAATCTTGTATCAGCTCTGCACCATTTGGAGGCTTCACAGTGTATTCCCTATTATGTGCAGAGAAATCTGCTGCATACAGACAGACTGCTGTTAACAGCTGAACTTTCTCATGGAACAGAAACAATCTATCATCCTTAGGTTATCATGGTATTTCTCTGTGATGTCCCCTCTCCCACCTTTCATCTCTGTATTCCTTCCAACTTCTAACCAGCTGTGCTCCATATTTCAGCCTCGCTTCCCAGTAGATTTTTAAATTGATCTGCTAAATTGAACCTCAAAGCTTTTTATCTCCTTTTTTTTCTTACTTTTTTTTTTTCCAAAAAGAGTTGTGTTTCTTTACACAATCTTGTGGTGTCTGTCACAAATTTCTTGAGGATTACTTTAGACTTTCAAAAAGAGAAACCAATGAATAGAGGTTTTTCTGGGTTGAGTGCTCCATTTGAAATTCTGACCGGTCATGAATCCAGGCATATTGAAGAAGCTTCATGTTACACACATGTTTCAATAGACTTTCATAGTTAGAAAGTCAACAGCAGACGTAAATAATTATATATATTTAAAAAAAAAGACCTTAAAGTGTCTTTTAAGATTGGGAATAATCTATAAAAACTGAACGTATCTGTTTTGAGTTTAAATAAAGTAAATAACTTTCGGCTCAAAAAGAACAAAATTCAAAGTCATACAATACTTTTTTTTGTATCTGTCGATGTTTAATTTTTACATCTAAGAAAGTCTTTTAAAAAAGGTGAATAAATTGTCTTTTTTGTCTAGTCAAAAACATTAAATAAATCCAGCAGCTTTTCAAAACTTCTCAATAATTAAAAAATTAGTACAATAATTTAATATCTGTGTATTCCTGTCCATATTGGCTGCTTTTTTTCTATCCACTAAATAGAGTTTCTGAACAAGTTGATTCAAAATTAGTTCAGTTATGAATTAAAACATTATTAAACTTCTGAATAAAAGAACCAAAAGTGTTTTCAGAGCCAGGAGAGTTCTTGTAATGTTGGAGCTACTTAAGTACAAATTATGTTTACTTAGTTTCCAGAATTATCTTAATTCATTTGATGCAGTGTTGATTTGGAGAGACATTTGTGTGGCCATTTTTAAGCCACTGATTACATGAACTGAATGTTATAAACAATTAACATCCCATAATCCACAAGACCCACTGGTTATAAATTAAATGCATCTTTTTAAGGTGGAACAGGCTGGCTGTCTTTAAAACCTCTTTATATGAGATTTGAAAAAGACTGTTTTGAATTACAATGATTTAAAAAAAACATTAAAAACCTTAATTATTAATGGCATGACATTACAGTGCTGACTGACTAAAATTGCTAAACAGAGTTTTTGTAGGTTTCAACTAGTACTTTGGCTTTAGGAGGGAGATTTTTTCAGTCTATTTTTAGCTTAACTCAATCCACAGATTCTCTGTTTAATTTTAGTTGTTACTCTGGCTTGCTTACTCCAAAATATTAATATAAGGGAAAAGTTCTCCTTAAACCTAAAACCGCAAATGCTACGATTAACTTGAGACTGTAAATAAACAGTCATTTCAAATAAATTATGTTTTCGGATTACCTTTTTAAAATATTAAAGATAAAGTAGTTGTTGGGCCCAACTAGACACATTATTGTATCTACACTTCCCAGAAACCATCACAACTCTCACATTACATATAGGTGATAAAAACGCACTGCCCAACACCCTGCTGTAGTTTTTGGCTGCCAAGGAGGCACCTTCCTGCTTTGCAACGCTCACTTTATTCTAAATCACAACTTACCCAAAAAAAAAAAAAAACATGATGTGGAAAAAAACAAATTGTGATTAGTCTACTAATCAAAAAAAATTATCGATAGATTAACAAATATTAAAACTAGAAAAGCACTTTGAGAGCACAGCCCTCTAGAATTTCCTCCAATACTGTGACTTCCACCCTAAGTTAATAGCTATATTCAGTCTCATTCAAAAATTCCTGCATCCAGATGGTAATCTGGATCATCACCAGTCAGAATACGCACCTTCTCTGAAAGATTCAGCAAAATCTGTCCATAACTTTTATTGTTATTTTGAAAAGATGAAAACATAACCTCCTTGGCAGAGGTAATAAAATCTGCAACCCTACTGGCCATATTACACTAGAGGTAAAAAAAAAAAAAAAAACTTCAACATAAACCAGCCAATACCGGGTGCCTATTATATTTGATGGAGCCAAACAATTAAGAGTTTTCCACAAGCAAAGTAGCATTTTAAAAGACTTAAAAAGAAATAAATTTTTTTTTCTGTGTGTGTGTGTGAAAAACGTAAGTAATGAACTCATTTGCCTCTATGCACTCATTGATTGCTGAAAAAATATCATGTTAAGGATGGATATGTGATCCACGACCAGATACAAGTCTAAAGGGAAAGTATTTATTTTGCACGGAACAAACACAATTATCAACAGAAGACAGCATGGCAGGTTATTTTTTATTGCAGTTTGGGCCATTTATAGGGAACAAGAGTATTGTTAAAATTTGTGTTGCACTGACCCCAATACCAGTATCGGGCAGGGCCCAGATAATTCACTAAAATGGTGGTATCGGTATCAGCGAGTACCGACAAATAGGGCACCGATACCATTTTGAGAGCCAAAAGTTTGTTCAACTATTGTCACCTCTTCCAGGTAGGCAATAAAAAGTTCTACTGGATTCACGTTTTATTGACTTTATCCTGCTTCACAAAGGTATGCAGCAGCTTGACAAAGTCATGACGGCAAGTAGTGTGCATATATACACACACATATCAATTTCAAACATATGGTATCGGCCAATACTGCCCAGCCAGGTATCAGGTATCGGTATCGGGGCCAAAAAATTGCATCGGTGCAACTAGTTAAAATGCTGAATAAAATGTCACCACATCCTGCAAAAACCATCTAATATTGTGGCAGAGTTGTGACATTACAGAGAAGTCCCAATCTGGTGAAAAGTTGCCTTTATGGAAATTACCATAAAGCTTTCATTTAACAGAAATGGACCATGGATGATTTCTCTTCACTGATTTTAGAGAAGAACAAGCAAAATAAATCGGATATCTTGCTGTACACTGAAGAACAGAAGCCCTATCTTCAATATGCACTCAAAAAATAAAAAAAATATATATCTGACTAGTAAATGAGTTTATGAATAAAATATTTCTAAATATGAAAACCTATTGCCCTATAGAAGCCCATTGAAGAATTAAAGGAGACATGGCAAAAAAAGACTGCCTTTATCAACCAATATAATAGAAGTAACAGAAGATTACTTTAGGCAACAGATGAAAAATATACACATCACACTATGTTAAATAAACGCTTAAACAGAGCCATGACCCTGTACATGATCAGATGAAAATACACAAGCAGAAACACACGTGTCAGACAAGGCTCTGTGCTTTAGCCTTAAGGAAATTATTGCAGCTCACACAAAGATGAAAAATGTATAGTGTTTGAGAGAATTATAAACTGCACATCATATGATATGAAAATTATGTTGGAAAGATGTTAAAGGGGAAAATGCCATCTCTCCTTTTTAGGTCTCAGTTAGAGGATAATCCTTGGAGTGAAGCAGCTGTTCAAAGGCAGCAAGCAGACCGCATGCCGAGAGATGAACATCAGACTCACCGTGTTAAATCCTGGGAAAAGGCTGACCGCTGACGCCGTGTCCAACGGAATCGGGAGAAACTGCTTCATGCCCAGCGAGGTTTGGACAGCGGGCAGAGTTGGACGCATCAGGGTAGGCATGAGGCCATTTTGACATGTGTTACCTGCAGGAGGGAGCAAAGGCAACATGGTGAGCCGGTGACAGCAGCAACGGAAGATGACTGAGCCAAAATCTATTTAAACTCACATCCGATGAAACCCTTAGTGAGTTCCTATTTAATCTGTCATCTGTGTCATCAATGTCTCCATCCCTTCTCATCCCATTTGCTGCCATTTCGGCTGTTTAACACCTGTGCTCCTCAGGCTGCCAACTCAAGACTTTACATTCATGTGAAGCTCACAGCACAAACTGATTTAACTGAAACTAGAGCCTGGATAAAACGCTTGTTTTTGCAATTGGGAAAGTAGATGTGTTTAAAGAAAATCAGTTTTTCAAGAGTTGACAAATCTCTGCTGTTCATTTAAATATGCCAAAATTTTCAAAATTAGAATAAAATCTGCTATATTTTTAAAGTTATTGTGAAATAAATTGTGAAAGCAACACATACTGTATATACCCGACATCAGTAGTTGTAATTTATATTATATATTTTTTTAGGAGCACCAGTCTGAGCATGTACGTATCACACCACATGGTGCTGGTGCTTCCAATACCTTACTTTCTGTGTAATTTAGGATTGATCACACAATTCTCTTGTTTTTTAAGCTTTAGGTGGTCCTAGTCTAAGGTCATCTTTGGGTCCTCCACACTATAAGTAGATGCATGCTTTTATTGATCACAAAATTTAGGACAACAAAACTGAAGAGTTGTTCAAAATGTCTTCATTTTATCTCAGTTGATCTTATCATTATTTATTAATCTCTCGGAGGCTTGACATCAACCTAAGATGTTTTGCTAAATTATTAATAGACATATTAATATTACTATATTAAACTTTCATATAGGAAATTTAAATTACCTTCATAAGAAGGGATAATTTCTGTCTTACAAGGTAGAATGTTTGCAAACAGAGTAAGGAAATATCTGGCATCAACAAGTGAAGTAGTTTTCTGAAATCATTGCTCTTACACCTAGTTACTTGTCTTATTGATATTTACTTTCGTCCAGTTTATCATATTATCCTAAAACATTGTCTGATGACAGGCAACAACCTAAAGTATCATAAATCAAACCATGCAGCAGGTTAGCCATTTTGGATTCTGGCCTTTGACATCAATATATATACAAAAATGAAAGTCAAAAATTCAACCAGCTTTTGATTGCTCCACAGGAAATCTTAACTAAAGGTAACTGAAGGCCATTTTAAGGCTTACGACAGCATCCACTGTGAAACAGAGATTTTTCTATGTGGCTGTCTCTTGACATCTACATTGTAACACAGGCCTGAGGGTCATTCAAAGTGGCTTATAGCGTTACCTATATTCTTTTAATAAAGAAAAATAAAATGAAAGATCATGTTGCAAAGTCAAAGAAGGAGGGAAATTCAACTAGGCATGGTTTCAAAATAAGAAAAAGAAATGAAGGGAAAAATCATGTCTCATGCCTCTGTAGTTTGTATTGAGTGACAATCCCCCTCACAACCATCACAGCTTGTAAACACGTCTGGTAGCCGGCTCATTTTTCACTTGATGTTTTTATATTTGCTCTCAGGCATCCCGCAGAAAGGCTTTGGGCTTAGTTGTGTTATTTTTGTCTTCTTGCACAGACTTTTGAGGTAGATCTACCAGTTTAACGAACAACCCTAAGCCTGAGGATTGCTTCTGGTTCTGGAAACCTTCTATTTCTCATGTTAAACAGGATTTAAAATAGTGTATCTGCATTAAACTGACCGTATTGTAAATCACTAACATATCACCTGTACCGCTACTTGCAAAGACTGAAGCATGATCAACACTTTAGTGGACAGAGGAAATGTTGCCTCCTTCTTACTTAAACATTGGTAAACTACCACAAAAACACTCATTTAAATACAAATCTACAATGCTTGTTTTGAAGGTAATTAGCTTACACATAACTGAAAATGGCCTTTTTTAGATAAAGTTTAGGCAGGTATGGTTGCACAAATAACTCCTCTTGAGGTTATTTTACAGTCAACTTACAGTACCAATGATCTCCTCTTGAGAAACAGTTATTTATTAAGTAGAGAAAATATTAACTATAATTTCTAAATTATGTTTGATCAACCCAGTCTCATGGGAAAATGTACCCCCACTACGTTGGTCCACACTGCAAAACGTAGTGGAGGTACATTAATGGCCATTTTTTTGTGGTACTGTTACATTTCTTCTGCCTATACGCTTTCTATTGTTTTACGTCCTAGTCACGTGACTTTCAAGATTCCAGCTGGGAGAAGAAAAAAATATATATAGATGGCCGACATTCGTTAATTTTTTTGTGGAAAGATTAATAACTTGAGTTTGTTTTTGCATTAAAATGAGTTTTGATTACATTTCAAGTGAGAAATGTATAGTTTGTTGCCAGAATATTTACTCAGGGAATGTACATATTCACTTGCTTGTTCGTTTCTTGCAAAGATTTTTCAAGATAATGTGAAACTGTAACATTTTGGTATAAACATGGCTGAGATTTCTCTAACTTTTAGTGGGAAAACCAATAATTTCAATCAGTTTCTGCATTTAAATGGGTTTTGATCACATTTATAGCGAGAAGTGTAGGGTTTATTTACATAATATTTACTTAGTGAACATACATAATCACCCGCTTGCTAGTTTTTGCTACGTTTTTCGGATCTCGTCAGGATTATGTGAAATTGCAACGTTTTGGCTGCTACCTATCGCCTAGCATTTAGCTGCCGCCCCGATTCAACATTGAATTCTTTGTGATTTAACTCCATCTGACGGATCAAACCCTCGCCACTGCGTGCGTTGCGTCTGAGGTTGATTTTCAGATCAATGCATTACGTCGTGGCATACGGGAGAAAATAATTAAACTAGTTTAAAAAAGGATCATGGGTTAAGATCGGACGTGTTTTATTTGGAAATCTACCGGATCCTTTGTGCATTTCACTTCCTGTTTGGTGCGATCTCATTGATGGGTTTTGACCAGATTTTGACCAAAGAGGAACTAAAAAAAACAAAAAACAATTTAAATACACAACCAGCATATCTGGAATCAGTGACAGAGAGCGACTGGGACCAGAAGTTTATTCATTTCTCCCCACTGATTTCCATTCAAAATGTTTTCGATCCCACCGGGCTCTAGGGAAGGGGCGGGCATACCGCCACCTACTGTTCATGAGTGTGTAGCAACATTGTTTTACATCTATTAAATTCTATTTTTTTATTTTGTATTCTGAAGATAAATAAATAATGCTTTCCTTAATCTATAAATATCTTTTATATTTCCTTTATTTCCCAATAATCCTTTAAGACTCCATTCTTGGCCTGTCCTTTCAACTCTTTTCAATTTCTTCCTTTCAGGTCCAGATGTTTTAAAGTTCATCAATACGTGTTCTATATTTTCTATCTCTCCACATCCTCCACATTTATCATTATTTTTCCTCCCTATTAAGTATAAATTGTCATTTAAATAAGTATGACCTACTCTTAATCTGATCATTATTATTTCGTCCCTTCGGTTTCTCTCATTAATATTTCTATTTAATACTGACTTTTGTACTTTATATAACCTTCTTCATTTTTATCTTCATTCCACCTTTTTTTTTTTTGCCATTTTTCAATTTCTTTCCTCTTAATAAATGATTTTCCTTCCCCTTTCCCTAAAGGAATTGTAATTGTTATTGCCTCCTCTAATTGCTAATTTGTCTACTAATACTACATTTTCCCACTTTGACCTTTTAAGGTTAGTATATTGACCAAAAGCTGACACCAAAAATAAAGCAATCGATTATTTACAACAATATGCTACATTTAATGAAGACTAATACAGATTTTACTCTCTTATAAGAATTAGTTTTAGGTTTTATAGGGGAGAGTTTGTATCGGCAGTCATCTGGGAATCTTTTATGTATTTACTGGTAAAGAACAACCTCTCAACCCATTTAATGTAAATGTTGCGTCGAACCAGAAAGTTATTTGAAGAGCATAGATGCATAAATATATGCATAGCTTTAACAAGGGCCTCATGAAGGTCTGTTCTGTTATTCTCTTTTGGAGAATATAGACATTGTGGGCATTCATTTCCCTGATAAGCTGGTGAAGATTCTTAGACATCCAGGTCATAATCATTCCCAAAAAAACAAAAAACAAACAAACTTTGGACTTTGTTTTTCAAGTTTGAGGACTTCCCATTCAGGACGTTTTTCAATTCAGAATTACAGTAGCCCAACAAATCCTTGTTTTGGCTAGGAAAATATGCAAATTGAACCTGATGCCTGATCCCAATAGCTTGACTCTGAACCGAATTTGATCCCTATTACTTTTTGGCCACATGCACATTATTGTGCTGCCTGGTCAACCCTATGAAAATGTTCTGGAACTGCCACTGAACTGACACCCAATGCATGGAGGGTAACCCAAAAAGGGCCATTGTTAGAGAAACTGGGTGCCTACAAAGTGCTGTTTTCAAGCTAATTAATGGAAAGTTAGCTGGAATGAAAAGTAGACAAATAACAATTACAATTCCTTTAGGGAAAGGGGAAGGAAAATAATTTATTAAGAGGAAAGAAATTGAAAAATGGCAAAAAAAAAAAGGTGGAATGAAGATAAAAATGAAGGTTATATAAAGTACAAAAGTCAGTATTAAATAGAAATATTAATGAGAGAAACATCTTCTGGTCCCAGTCGCTCTCTGTCACTGATTCCAGATATGCTGGTTGTGTATTCAAATAGTTTTTTGTTTTTTTTAGTTCCTCTTTGGTCAAAATCTGGTCAAAACCCATCAATGAGATCGCACCAAACAGGAAGTGAAATGCACAAAGGATACGGTAGATTTCCAAATAAAACACATCCGATCTTAACCCATGATCCTTTTTTTAACTAGTTTAATTAGTTTCTCCCGTATGCCACGACGTAATGCATTGATCTGAAAATCAACCTCAGACGCAACGCCGCAGTGGCGAGGGTTTGATCCGTCAGATGGAGTTAAATCACAAAGGATTCAATGTTGAATCGGGGCGGCAGC